GCTGGCATACCCGGATCTTGCCGCTGGCGACGCCTATCGGGCCTGTGTTGTTGTCAGACGAGGTTCTGAATGAGGGTTTCGAGTACCACGAACAAGCACGGGCCAGTCTGCAAGGTCGTCAACTAGACCCTATTCCCCCTGTGCTCGATCATGGCTTGCTTTCCGCACTTTCCCATAGCCTGCATGAAGAATTCCCTGAGGACCACCACAGCCAGGTTGCACGGCTGGCCTCGGTGCGGTGTTTCCAGATTCTGTCGCTCAATCTCCTCTTGTGCGGCTGTCTCAAGAGCGCATACGAATTCTGCCAGCGCGGTCTCGATATCGCACCCAGAAACGAAGACCTGCTCGAGACCAAAGGGTACATAGAGGTCGTTGCTCGTCGTCGGTTGAAGAGGGAAGAGTTTGGCGTTGCCGATCTCCCCGACGGCGGACTTGTGCGGCGCGAGATTTACCCTTGGAATACGCACGAGCCAGATCGCTTTGCTCCCGAATCTCTGGAATTCCTTAACAAGGAGTTGGAGAAGTTTGCACCCAAGTGTGCCGTGCAGGTGTCTGAGTTACTCATCCTCCTCGAGGGCGCCAGTAACACGGACGGCTACGATATAATTCCAACATGCAACCAACTGGGTCTCTTCGCTATCGAAGATGTTGCGCCAGGCGAGGCGGTGCTCAAGGAGTACTCGCTCCTGACGGCCAACAACCGTCTGAAGGAGCCCGTCTGCGACGCCTGTGGCTCGGAGTTACCACCCCTTGGCAGTGAAGTACCAGCCGTCAGCTGTGACGAATGCTACGACACTGTTTTTTGCAGTCAGTACTGCCACGACCAAGCGCAGGAGATGTACCACCCGGCAGTGTGCGAAAAAGATGTAGATGCCATTGCCAAGGATAGTGACGCGAAGGAGGCTGGTGAGACGTTATACCTGCTCTTGTTGGCCCGCGTTCTCGCCATTTCGAATCATCAAGAGATCCACCCGCTCGACGCCAAACAGGTCAAGTACATCTGGGGCGACTTTATACCGACCGCCTCCAACGAACTCGACCTATCCCCGGGTGCCAACCCGCCTCCGGACTGGACTCTACCGTTCTCATTCAAATACAACATTGAGACGCCACTTCACATCCTTGAGAAGATGGACGTTGATATTTACCAAACACTCGCGCATCACGACATTTGGGTTCTCAACACGCTTTACAGCAAGTTCCGCGGCACCGCGTCCGCCCGCAAGAACCCGCGCGATGGCCGCCCCGATGTTGCTGCCGTTCACCCCTTCTGGTGTCTCGCCAACCACGATTGCAACCCCAACGTGACGTGGGAATGGGGAGGCCACATGGTCCTCTGGGCACGCGAGCAGCGCGTCGTCGGCGACAAGCCGCCTGGCATCAAGGCCGGAGAGGAAATCTTGAACCATTATTGCGACGTCACGTTGCCAGTGCAGCAGCGTCGCGAGTGGGCCGTCGGTAGCCTCGGCGGCTGGTGCATGTGCGAGCGATGCCGGATCGAGGCGACGCAAGATGATACGACGCAGAACGGACCAACACACAACGGCGATGCGATGGAGGAGTGATCACGGGTGTAGACGGTTTCCAGATGATAGGAGATGGACTTGGTTTTCGGGGTGTGGCTGGCTTGTTGGAGTCTTGTCTGATACCCCGGGATGTAGGGAGCGAATTTGGAGATTATCTATAGCGAAGGTAGCAACGAGAGCGACCATTTCGAGTTGCTCTCTTTTCTTTCTTCCTTTACCCCCCCCCCCCCGTTTTTTTTTCTTTGTTTCTCTGCTTCTGTCTGTTCAAACACCATCAAGACATGGTTCAATTTCCTGACGCACATGTGTTTTTATGTCTCCTACTATACACGAAGCGAGATTTATCAATGAGGACCCGTTGGGGGCCTGGGGTTGACCTTTTGGTCAGCTCCTCTAAACATCAACAATAAAGAACGTCTACTGGCTAAAAGGGGGACGCTCGTCTGGGCATTGATCTGCGTAGGGATGTTGGTGCTTGCCTGTTTGGCAGCCAGGCAGGCATCCATCCGACACGTTTGACATGAGTAGCAGCCGAATCTCTGGGCTTGTGAGCCATTGTACAGACGTCGGAGGTCCGCTGTTGCCGCTGTCGTCGGATCAACGTCTGACTTACACCGAATGGGGCATATCATTACTTTGGCTCGTTTAGGCCCGACATGCCGATTCGTGCCTACACTCCCGTTGCGTGCATTGGAGTCAGAGCCCATCAGAGCCAATAGCATTCTGGCCGTCGCGGACGGGGACATCCCCGCTCAATCTGTGTGGAGGAGACAAGCGGCCTGGGACATTGGTGCGGGAACAGGAAGGAAGTCCATGGTAGGCAGGGGCGGCGCGGGCGAAGGTGGGAGGTGGCCACTCGATGCTGGTACCGCCGAAGGCTTGTTCTGAACAGGTGGGCACCTCATGCCGGGCTGCATCGAAGACACGGACGCGCGGCGACGCGCTGGAGCTGGAGGACGCTCTGGGCGGAATCGTAGCAGCCTAGACAGGTGACATGGTCAGGTCGTGTGGTTGGACCTGGTGAAGCGGGGACGCAACGGACAGCGGACAGCACCGACCAAGAGAGATTGAACGTCGAGACGAAGAACGCTTGACGTACGACTTGAATGGTGGCCCGCTACCCAGCTCTGGCAAAGCCAGCTTGAATCATGCCGCAAGACTACGTCAACCCCCAGAGCAAGTGGCACTGCCGAAAAGGGATGATCCTCTCAGCATCTGGGACGGGGCATGGCGTTTGTGAACTAAACCACCGAGATCGAGGTACAAGACGCGAAAGTCTGTGGTGGCATTAACGCACATGGCAAGACAGAACGAACGCAAGTTGAGAGTGTGATGTTGAAGAGGAAACATGTATTTTTTCCGACCCTTGATGACAGATTCGCTACTTTTATATGTATATATCATCACGAGTAGCTCTGCCTGCGACAAGGCAGTCAATTTTGTAGTCATCAACTCGTTACGTGCCCTGCCTGAGATTCATCAAGGCCCGCGCCCCCCGAAACAAACAGCAAGAGAGGATACGCAATAGGCCCCCACGAAAGGAGGGGCGCTCATGTCAAGGTAAAAGTGCAAGGAAACCAGCCCCCAAAGAAGAAATCAACTCGTCGAAAAACAACGTGGCATCCCGCCCATGTCAAGTACGTACCACTAAAACACCGCGAACATTGCCAAACAATCCCAGCGCATGCGAAACCGCCACTCATGGTGGCATGGATAATGTACAGTTCCAGTTTTCACCGCCTCGCTCGGCCGACGTCAAAGACTCTAGTTGGACATGCGGAGGACAGGGTACAGAGGCGCCGCTGGTGCCGGGGACACGGCCGACGTGGGCACGGGTGTTGTCCTGCGCGAGTCGACATCCATGGCATCAGGGGAGCTTTCGCGGCCCTCGGACTTCTCGTCAAAGTCCTTGCGGGCAATGCGGTCGCGAATGTATTCGCGCAAAGCCTCAATAGTGCGCATATTCTCGAGCCACTGGTCGTACTTCTCCTCACGCTCGCGGGCGCCGTCGCTCATCTCCGACTCGGACGAGGGGGAGCCGACGGAGGGGGTTGGGGTGCTCTCAGACTTGATCTGGGTGGCAGTGGGGGTGTCGGAGCGACGACGAGCTTCCGGGGCAGGGTTGGCACGCTGAAGCATGCCGCCGCCGTAGTTGCGGCGCTCGTTGTTGTCAAAGTTGGTTCCCAGAGTCGAGGTGGTGGACTGGCCGGGGAAGACAGAGCTGACGGCGGGCAGGTTGGGGTACATGACAGACGAGGTGGTGCTGTGGCGAGATTGCGGAGACATGCCAGAGGACGAAGGCTTGAGACTGTCCCGAGGTGTAGGACATGTTGCTGGAAGGCGGGGTTACGGCGGGGGTTCCGGTGGACGAGATGGCGGTCAGGGGGGAGGCCATGTGAGCGGCCGAGGCAGCGGCGTAGCCGTCCTGGGAGACGGGGATGGCGCCGTGGCTGCCGCGATGGCCCATGCCGGGAGGCGAGGGGCTGTGGCGGTACTCGTAGGTGTTTTGGCCGTGGACATGGATGCCGTGGGTGGCCTGGTTGGCGTTCTCGTAGACGGTGCTCTGCATCTGCTCAAGGATCTGGTCGATCTGGACGAGGTCGTTCTTGGTGCGGGCGTTGGGCATGGGCGGCAGGTAGTACTGCTGGGCGAGAGGCCCGGGGCGCTGGGACCGGCGCTCACACCAACACCCAGGGTGCTGGGGATTCCCCCATGTGCCTCCGCAGCAGGCATTGGAGCCACCGTTCTGGACGCAGAGCGCCGTGAGGGCATTTAGAGACGACGACTGAGGCGTAAGACGATGGATCCATGTGGCGGCGCTTGGCGTTACCGAAGAAGTCATCGACCATGTCGTAGGCGCGCTTGCGAGTGTCGAAGCCGCCGGCCGCGGCGTGGTGGCCGAGGTACTCGGGGCCACGGGTAGGTGCGTAGTACAGTCCGAGAGAGTGAGACGGTGTCGGGGCGCCCCCGCCATAGTAGCTAGCATGCCCATGAGCCTGATGGGGGAAGGCGGCCGAGTTAGTCCGGATGTGGCCATTATGATCATAGTAGCTAGAAGAAGCTGAGAGGGAAACAAAATTAGCCCCTGACTGGGAGATGTATTGTCGCGCCCAGGGGAGGAGAGGAAGGTGGAATAGGGAGGGAGTAGCAGACTGGATCACGTACCTTTGCCGGCCTGGGCGCGATAGGCTCCGTTCATGCCAGCCTGATCCTGAGGCGAGCGGACGAGGACCGAGTCGTCGGCATGGGTCTTGACGTGCTTCTTCAGGTCCTGGGGACGCTTGAAGGACTTGCCGCAGAACTCACACTTGTGAGGCTTCAGGGGGACGTGGACACGGATGTGCGAGGTGATGTGATCACGCTTGACAGTGGTGGTGCGGCACGAGTTCCACTGGCACGTCAGGTTGAGGTTGTTGGTGCTCTTGCGGCCGACATGACGCTCACAGAGATGCTCCTGGCTTGGGTGTCAGCGGGCTGGGAATCTCATCATCTGGGGGGGGGAAAAGGGAGTGAGTGGTCCATACGTAGAGAGCCTCTGGCGTGACGAACTTGAGGTTGCACGAGTTCCACTTGCAGATGAGGTTATCATCGGAAGAAGAGCTGGCGGCGGCGGCCGAAGCAGCCGTCGACTGTGAAGTGTTGCTGTTGGCGCCGGTGGAGGGCGCGGGCGTGTTGGACTTGGACGAAGCGCTCCCGGAGGATTGCTGTTCTTCTGGTCTCGCCGACATGGTGAGAGAGCAGTGGGTTTGTGTGTGAAGATGTTGAGGGGGCTGCGTAGTGGGGCGCGTCACGCTTGGAAAGTGTGACCGGTTGGCAGCACCTGGCGGAGCGCAGAGTGGTGCAGGAGAACTGTGTGATTGGCTGTGATGCCGAACAAACGCTTGCGTCTGTTGTCGGTCCTCTTTGGCGGTCTCTATTTTTTTTCGATGGCTCTGGACGGTTTCTTATTCACGGAATAAGACTCGGTTCAAAAATGGCGAAGAGGATGAGATGGGACCTGTGAGATGCTGGAGGAGGGACAGCCTCCGAACCGGGGGACGGGCGAGCGATGGTCTGTTCCTTTATCTCCAAAGTCACCAGAGCATGACCGGAGAAAGACTTGGCGTAATCTTGGCGGTTGTCTTGGCGGTCGGGGGTTGCGGATCACCTCTTCCACTCATTGGCCGGTAGTGGCGAGAGGGGCGCAGGCCAAAGTTCTATCCGCGGCGAGGTACTTTTCGCGACGTGGACGGGCGCATGCCATGGAAAGTCTCTCACCCGAGAAGCGACTTGGGGCCGCTTGCGATGCCAAGAGGAGGCCAAGTCTTGGCCAAGACTTGGTGCGTCTTGGCATTTCTCAGGCCGCCTGATGATGTCCCCCTTCGCACCTTCCTTTGCGCTCCGAAGCCTGTCGAGTCTGTTGCACCGGCCACACACTGCCCAATTGACTCGCGCACCTGTGTCTTTTCGTCTCCATTCGCTTTTCACTCACGAGGTGGTCGGATCTATCGATGACCATTTTCTTACCCAATAAGCGTGCCAGCGGCAAGGCGTGCCGTCGTATGCCTCCATGCGGTAACATTTGGTAGCTTTTCTGGTCTGCTTACAAACGTGCTAAACAGGCCATGACAGGAAGGAGCAAGGGAAAAGCGGTTCGAGTGACTCGAAAGCTGTCCGTCATGCGTCGTTTGAGAATGCTGCAACACAACGGACACACACATGGAAACAGTTCTGAGTTCTGCGTCTCCTTCTTGGTGCGTGTCTTGGCGAGTCCCTGTGCGTCCAGGAGATCAGCCCTGTCAGACTCTTTCCCCCCGTCTTCCCTCGCAGCGACCTTGGCCTGCTTGGCGGCGGCCTCTGGCGGTGTTCAGAGGCGACGACACACATACACAGGCCAGGCACCCTGCAGCGGCTAGCGCCCCGTTCGACACCCAAAGGCAAGTAAGTGCTGTGCAGGCAGGCCGGCCACACTGGCAGACACTGCGTGGTACTGGTACATGTACATGGACAGCAGGGACGAACGCTGGGACGAGGCAGGAGCAGCCAAATCAAGCTTTCCGCTGTGGCCGAGACTCCCTCTCCGCCCGCCAAGACTGCGACCTGCGAGTCCGCCCACTGGGCCACGCAAGCCGACCCCCTCTTCTCTATCCTTTGAGTGGTCCTGTCTCCCTCTTCATCCGGCCGCCCAGCCTTTCCGGCAACCCATTTCTTCCATTTGGCGCCCACCGACCCGATCATTCTGGCGCTGCACCACATCCATCGGGGGCGGTACTGGCGCATCTGACGGGACGATGATGCTTTTTCCAGCCTTGGATCGCTGTGAACGGCCTGCTTCACGCGCCGCGTTGATACCATCCCGGGTGGCTATATTGTCGACGATGAGGCCGACATGTCACCAGAGCGCGCAGCAACTGCTACCCCATCCGGCCGTGGGCCACCGGCCGGATCTCGTGGCCGCCATCCGTCAGCAATTGCCCACTCGCGCCTCCACACCTCGTGGAGGGATCCGTTGCGTTGCGTTGCTAGGTCTGCCAGGAGCCTCACCTGTGTCGCCGTCAGGAAAATGGAGCAGCTCGCCTCACGGCGCAGCAATGTCGCTGCTGCAATTGAATGTCCTCTCCCGTGGTACATCAACCTCGCTCCCTGTTGAGCCCGCATGGCCATGATCAGACTTCCTTCTTGGGTCGTTACACCACAGCCATCTCGCAGAAACAGGCGCCATCGTACGATCCGAGACGTCGCTGTGACTTCTGCCCTCTCTATGGCCATATGCGCCCAGCCGATGGCTGGACTCGGTCTGCCCTCCACGAGCGCATCGATCGTTCATGATGTCAGAGGTTGCTCAACACGCGGAGCGAGCGCAGGCTATATCTCTTCCTGCGGCCAGTCTTCATTTGCCAGTCTTCACCGGCCGCAGTGCGAGGTTTCTCTGCGCCCTTGGACTACAGAACATCGCGGCCACGAACTGGCCGTCTGATCGGTTACCAGTAGACATTGACCACCGCAATCGCAGCCTTGTTTACGACCTGTGCGCCACTTGCCGCTGGCTGACTTCCTCACAGACTGCAACCGATCTACAACTGTGCCCCTACAGTCCAAACCCCTCCCCCCTTTTTTTCCAGGGGGCTCAGCATTTGCGGTGCTGCCTCACATCCACGCCGCCTTTGCTCCTCGCTCCCATTTGTCTACAGCATCTGGCCTTTCCACCCTCCGTCAGGAGCCAAGTCAGGCCAAGTGTTTTCAAGGCCAGCCAAGAGTACTTCGCAGGGGGCCAAGCCATCGCCAAGGTCTTGGCAAATTCATCATCAAGACCGTCGTTACATATACCTCACCTCACACCTTTGTTCCTCATACAACGAACGGACCCAAAACTTTCACGTGCTAACCTTATTCCCCAGGACTCGGTAGCCCCGAACTATCCAGGACCAGGTCAGCCGCCCACAGTTTCTCTCACAATCGGATTATCCAGACATCTGACCATCGCTTGGGTTTTGACGCGTCACGGGGGCCTCAAACTTGTAATGCTAAGCATTGGCATTGTGTGTGTTCCTCCTCAGCGTCCACCGTAAACCTGATGCGCTTGAGAGCAATGTGGTTCACATCTGAGACATTTGAGTTGACGGACGACCTACAACATGAGCCAACATGCATCATGATGTCGTGACATGCCAGCGGCGCGCTCCGAGCTATGCTGGCCTTGTTGACAGTGACAGACATTCAAGGTACTTCTGTCGTCAAATTGGCTGCAACTATGTCTTGCTTTCGCCGGAACTGCCCAAAGTGATGCAGCTTGTATGATTCGTACGTAGCCTACGATTCCAGGCTTCGTTTACTTTCATGCGTATCACAATTTGTCCTGCCAGGGTTGTCCCACAAGACAGAAAACCGCACCATT